TTGGCAAATGGTTTCAAGTGAATAACGTCCTCTAAGGGATGTTGCTCCTGCAGGTAACGATGAGGTCATTTCTTGTCAGCCAGTGGAAGTTGCTCTGTCGGCTCAAGGTAATTATCTGCAGGCACGCAACAGACTAACCGATTTGAGGTTGGCCCCCAGACTCTGTGCACACCCCCACAGCTTCCCCCCTACCTTTCCCCCAACCTTGTGCTTTACCATCTTCCTCTCATTTGACAAGCTCACCAGTTGTAAAAGGGTCATATTTATCTTACTAATCATTCTCACTTTGCATTCCACTGAAGCTTTGGGGTTCATATAGAAAGTAAGGCAGGACTTTCATTGAAACATGGAGTCGTCCAGACTAATGACTTGCAGAAGAGTTCTCCATCTCTTCATCTGAGGGAAGATAAACCAGATCAGCAGCAGCTGAGGACCGAAGACTTTTTAAGTTGCATGCAAAGTAGAGAAAGTTATCTCAACAGTAAAATGCTGCCCTCTAGTGTCCAAACAATCTCACAAATCTCACATAACAAAAAAGGTGTTTGAAGGCACACTAGGACATTTTCCTGGAACCAGCATAGTTTTCCAGAGCAGTTTTTGCAGTTTTGCAGAGCAGTTTAACAATGTATCCCTAGCGTCAGAGTGTTGAGGAGGGAGAGTGCAAAGCGTTGTGATTTGTTGCCATTTTATCAGACTTCTAATTCAATCATCTCATTTTAAACTTGTCTAAGTCTGATATTTTAGCTGTAGCAGATAATAAATAAACTTCTGCTTTCAACAGTCTGTAGACAAAAGAGAAACATTCAAAGCTACATAATTTAAAGGATCACAGCCTCTGTGCTAGATTGTAAGGAGCACTGCAGCTGAATTTGTGCTCACTTCCAACATGTAGTTTTGGGGGGAAAAAAATCAATTTTGAAGTCATTCTAATTATATTTCAAAGTGTATTAACCACGGTGCTGGTATTAGCATAACTGAAGATCAGTGTACAAAATACACTGAAGTGATAATGTCCTTGTGGAATATTTATGTTCATTGAGAACTAAAATAATCTTTATGTTTACAGAAAAGTTCTATGGATTGAAAAATATTGGTTTCAGCAGAAAATAAAAAATAATATATTCAACCAGATCAGAACTCAAAAAATCCAGAATTGGAGTTCTTTTGGTATTAGATTTCAGTTTTGTCCTAACACATTTCCATGTCCACACTGGTGAGAGACACAAAACATTGAGGAATTAGGAGCTTATGCATAAGGAGATGTGGTGTACACATTCTCCGTGGCGCGGCTGCTGTTCTCGGATATTTTTCTGTCCTCTGGGCGAATTCTGCTGGAGAAGTAGTAGTAAACGAACAAGAAGAATCCTACAAGCAAATAATGCATTGGTTATTTTTTCTTTTAAGTCATTTAGTCTGAAATTGAAGACGTTCACTTTCAGTTCCAGGCTTACCTTGAAAGGAGTTGAGGATGGTAAAGATGTAGAAGGAGGGAAGGAGCAGAGGGCCGTAGCTGAAAAAAGCGAATCCCCAGCCGATGCCCAAAAGGCAGAAAAGACCCAGAAGAGAGAAAAGCCTCTTCTTGGTAGAGACTTTGTCCCTGTTGTCTGCTTTAGATGCAAATTTAGTGATCTGCACTACAGCTACAAGGAATATGGTTAAGGTGAAGATGAACACAATTCCATAGTAACCAATGTTCACTCCCATGTGTAATGTAGAGTCAGTGATCCAACACCTGGAAGTCATGACAAAGATTTGATTATTTTATAATCTGAAGCATATATATGTCATTTAAATTATCTTCATAAGATCCTTACATGCTTACTGAAGTCCCATTATCATCATAAATTTCCATGTTACCATAGTTATTAGAGGCAAGAAGTCCAATCACAAACAGAGCGGGAATGACTAAACAGAGATAAAACACATTTTCCTTATAATCTGCAGACAAATAAATCACAGTAGATTTGAACTATTTCGATCTCTCACCCCATCCCGAGAGGCAAATCTTGTACATATAATATTTGATGTCTGTGGAGATCTGGTGTAGACTGAAGTACAGGTGCAAGGCCTGCATGAAGAACCATGTGAATGTGGCCAGCATGCTGTAGTGCAGAGCCGCTGCCATCGCCACGCATGCTGCTGAGACCTTCAGTTTAGCGATTGACTCATTTACCAAAAAGCAAAGGTTCAGGAAGAACAAGGCGACAAAGAGATTCATGAGGATCTTTACAGCCTCACTGGCTTTAGTTTTCCTGTGAAGCAAATTGGTTTGTGTTAACAAAGCCATTCTCTAAGTAGAATTAAAATCAAAAGCAGACCTTATTTTTATTAATATTATTATTATTTTTTTACCTTACGAGAAAATGCATGAAGAGAGCCACACCCAGGAAGAACAAGGATATGCCACAACCAGCTTTTGTGATTTGGGTCAGGGTTTTCAAGTCAGAAGAACTAATATTTTTATTCCCTGGTGACTGGTTTAAGCCACAATATTTGCTTAGTAAACATGAAAAAATAAATGTGGTGTTCTTAAAAACTGCATAAAAATGACTCACCATAAGAATAGCAAAAAAGGTAAGGTGAGAGCATTGGCACGTGATGCTGCTGTTGACTGCTATTGTTTTGCAGCCATCTGTGATCCATTTGTGTGCGCCATCTGGTGGCCAGAAGGGACAAAAGTAATTAGATGAAACTGAAATTTACTAGATAAGTGAGAAAGATGCAGGGGGAAATTCAGCACTGCCTGACATATCTGAGATGTTGTGCATATAAGAATAATGCAAAAAGCAGGCGTAAATCAATGGCAATATTATCTTTATATACTGTATTGACAATATAATTTAAAATAAATCTAACTTTTGCTCACTCCTGTCTTTCTCATCTGTCTTTACAGTGTTACCAACCCTCTATGTAACAGGGAGAGGAGTCGCAAAGCAGAGGCAGTGTGTCTAGATCCCACAGTGCATGAAGGTTTGGGACCAGTGCACCAGAGAAAATGCACATGTAAAAATTAATCTTACAATTAAAATTAATCTTGCAATGTCTTAAATTAGGAAAACATGATACACATAAAACACATCTCAACAACAACCAAAAGTGTATATATATTCATTATATTATATTATATTCATCAGAATTGTTTACATTTTAAAAAAGCACAGTGTTGGTTGATAAATGGAAGGAAGCTGAGTAACTAGAAGAGCATTTCTTGACTAGCACATGCCCTTTCACATTAAAACAAAAGATTTATTCCAAAGAAAGGGTAAGGTTTGATTAAAATTTTGAATTTGATTTCCTGAACACCATCGTCCCTGTGACCCCAAGAGGACAAGCATATATGGATGTACTTGTATTTTTTGTATATATATATAGATTTTTATATTGGTTCTGCTATGTCTTCTGTACTGCTGTAACAATGTAAATTTCCCCACTGCAGGATTAATAAAGGAATATCTTACCTTATCTTATCTTATCTTATCTTATCTTATCTTATCTTATGGATGGATGGATGGATGGATGGATGGATGGATGGATGGATGGATGGATGGATGGATGGATAAACACCATCTTGGCGAGTCAAATAAGCTAAAATCTAGAAATGGCAATTGTGAGCCTCTACTTAGAAACTTAAGACTCTTGAACCAACCTGGCTGGTTACTTCTCCCATCCCATGAAACGCAAGAAACACTCAATCCAGTCTGTAGTGGGACAGAAGAAGAAAAATCTGAACTCTTATTGTGTCCAACAAAAGGTTATTCTGAAAGTTTTTAACATCTCTTACCGTATTCACGTTAGTGAATTGAATATTGATGGTCTCTGAAAGGTTGGATATGTTCACTCCCATCTCAATCCCCAGGATTTGATCATTAAAGAAAGAACTTGTTGCATTGATCTGTTAAGTATAAACACACACACACACACACATATATACTGTGTGTATATATATATATATATATATATATATATATATATATATATATATATATATATATATATATATATATATATATATATATATATACTGCTCACAAAAATAAAGGGAACACTCAAATAACACATCCTAGATCTGAATGAATGAAATATTCTCATTGAATACTTTGTTCTGTACAAAGTTGAATGTGCTGACAACAAAATCACACAAAAATCATCAATGGAAATCAAATTTATTAACCAATGGAGGCCTGGATTTGGAGCCACTCCTTTGTTTTACCTTAGGAATTCCTGGAAAAAGCAAGATTCCAATATAGGAGCCATTTTTCTTCACGGCCATTTCACTGGCTTCTTTAGGAAGATGAACTGATAGAGCGTAGTCTGTCGCCAAATTGTTGCTTTCTGATAAAATCTATTGCAAACAGATTATTACAATTACATGTGTGATGTATCATGTCTGATGAAGTGTTTTTTTTTCTTATATAAATATAGCTGTGTACCTTTACATCTCCACTTGATGTGAAGACAAAGTTCTTGTTTTCCTCATTTTGTTGTGTCAGTTTAGCAAACACTCCTTGAGTTTTACCAATTTTGATGATGGCTGTGCTCATATTGCGCATTAAATCTGCAATAATGCTCATTTTACTCATGGTATTTCTGTAACATAAAAGGAGAATTTCATCAAAACATAATTATATGTCCTGATGATATTCTTGGATCATTGGATTTATTGACAGATATACTTACGCTGCATTCTCAGCGCTCTCAGTTTGAGTCAATTCATTAGAACTAAAGTTCGGGTTGTTATCTAACGTCATACTGGGCAGAATTATTGAAGAAGTGGTAGTGCTTGATGCAGTATTAGTTGAGCTTGATTTTGTTGTCGCCGGTGTTGAAGGTTGAGTGGTCTAGTTTGAAACAAAGATTGTTTTTTTCATATGTGCGAAATATCAGCTGTTTCTTCAAAAAGAAATTACAGAAGTCAACTTACTGAAGTTGTAGTTGGGCTTGATTTTGTCGTCGCCGATGTTGAAGGTTGAGTGGTCTAGTTTGAAACAAAGATTGTTTTTATATGTGTAATATGTCAGCTGTTTCTTCAAAAAGAAATTACAGAAGTCAGCAGATCAAATAACTTGGTTGAGAAAGAGAACTGCTTGAGGTTCTGAAAGCCGTGGTTGTACCAGTATTTTCTGGCTTTCCAGTCCCTGAGGAAGTCCTATCATTTGTAGGTTTGGAAGTCTAATTCATGAAACACTGCATTCATTTTTTACATGTCAAATATTATTTGTCTTTCAAAAATGAAAATTACAGAGGTCAATTTACAAAATAACTTGTTTGAGAAACAGAATAGTTTAAATAGCTGAAAACTGTTTGGATCCCAGGTTCTTGAGTTGTTTTGTAGTTTGCTTTGATTCTAGTTTCATTATAATTTTGCCTTACTTTCTTATTTTGATTAGGTTAGCCTTGTTCCTGCTGTTTTTGTTCAGACCTTTCATAATGATTTGAGTTTATGTTTATTCTTGTTTCTAGTTATTTTTAGTTACTCTAGTTTTATTATGTTTAGTTTGCTTTAGTGTTAGATTTATTCCCTCGTCCCACGTATATGTTCCCTCACCCCCGTGCCACCTCCCCCCTCCCTCTCTCCCTCTCTCTCTGTCTCTCTCTCTCCCTCTCTCTCTCTCCTCAGACGACCTTCTACTCCCTCCACTCACACCTGCAGTCAGTTATCTTTTGGCTGTGCGGATCCTGACAAAGAGATGTCAATTGTACGTTTGGAAGTCTAATTCATAAAAGACTGTATTAATGTTTGATGTGTTAAACATCTGATGTCTTTCAAAAATAAAAATGACAGAAATCAGAGAGATCACATTATCAAATAGCATGTTAGAGAAACAGAACTGCTTGAGCTACTGAAGTGAGGCTTGTAAACAAACCATTTTGGTCTGTAGTCCCTGATGAAGTGATGTTGACTGTGTTTCTCTAAGCCTAGTTAATAACGTATTGTATTTATTGTTGATGTGTGAAGTATTAATTGTCTTTCAATAATAAAAGTAACAAAGGGCAACTTACTACATTACTTGTGCGAGAAAAAGAACTGTTTACGTCATGAATATTCAGTGCTGTTGTTGAATTTAATGACTGTGCGGCTCCTGATGAAGTGCTGTTGTTCGTAGGTATCGGTTTCTATTAAATAAGAGATTGCGTTTATTTTTTTAATGTCAGAAGTATTTGCTTCTTTAAAACAACTAAAATGACTGAAATTAGTTTACCACAAAACTTGTTTGAGAAGCAGAACTGCCTGAGTTGCTGAAAGTTGAGCGTGTAGATACAACATTTTCGTCGTTAGTCACTGAAGAAGTATTGTTGTTTGTACTTTTGGAGGCCTAGTTCATCAAAATTGTATTTATTTTTGATTTGTGGAGTATTAGTAATCTTTCAAAAATAACAATTGCAGAGATTAACTTACCAGATTACTTGTTTGAGAAATCGAACTGGTTGAGGTGCTGACATTTCGTGCTGTTTTTGGACTTTCTGTTTGTGCAGTCCTTGATGAAGTGCTGTTGTTTTTAGGAAACGATGTCTAGTGCATAAAAATGTGTATTTATTAAACTACTTAAGCATTATTTGCATACTAAAAATGAAACGTGCAGAGATCGTCTTACCAAATAACTTAAAGGAGAAACGAAACAGCTTGAGCTGCTGAATGTCAATGTTTTTAAAGAACCATTTTGGTCTAATGAGGTGCTGTTGTTTGTACTTTTTGATGCCAAGTTTGTACAATATCATATTCATTTTCAAATAAGTATTACTGGACTTTAAAAATATAAATGAAAGAAACCACCTCACCAAATAACTTGTTTGAGAAACAGAACTGCTGGAACTGTTGAAAGTTGGACTTGTAGAGAAACCACTCTGGTCTATATTCCCTGATGAAGTGATGTTGTTTGTACGTTCTGAAGCCTATTTCACAAAAGATTGTATTTCTAAATTTATGAAATATTAGTTGTGAACCACACAAGAAAAATACGGAAATCACCTTACCGAATGACCTGTTTGAGGACCAGAACTGCTAGAGCTACTGAAAGTCGGGCTTGTAGACAAACCATTGTGGTCTGAAGTCCCTGATGAAGTGATGTTTTCTGACATTTTTGAAGCCTGGTTCATAAAAGAGTATGTTTACATTTGATTTGTGAAGTATTAATAGACTTTCCAAATAACAGTTTCATAGATTGTTATACCTCACTACTTGTTTGAGAATCTGAACTGCTGGAGGTCCTGAATTTTGGGGTTGTAAACAAAGTTTCTTGGACTTGTGCACCTGATGAAGTGCTTTCATTTGTAGGTTGTGACGTCTAGTTCAAACAAGATTGCTTACATGTTTAATGTGAAACATTAATCGTCCAGCAAACATGAAAAGTTCAAACATGATCTTACCGAGTAACTTATTTGAGAAACTGATCTGCTTGATGAACTTAAATTCAATGTTGTTAGCAAAATGTCAATGCCTGTTGTTCTTGGAACAGTGCTGTTGCTTGTACTGTTGGGAGCCTAGTTCATCAAAGATCATAGTTATTATTCAGTTTGTGAAATATTTATTGTCTTTCAAAATAAGAAATACAGAGGTCAACTTACCAAGTGACTTGTTTGAGCAGAAGAACTGCTCAAGTTGCTGATACTGGTGCTTGTTTTTTGACTTTCTGGCTGTTCAGTCCCCAATGAAATGTTGTTTGTAGGTGGTGATGTCTTGTGTATACAATCAGTTATTAATTTTGATGTGTCTAATATTTGTTGGTTTTAAACAAGAAATATAAATCACCTTACCAAATATATTGGTGGCACAGAATTTCTTGAATCACTCAAACTGGAGTTTGTAAACAAATTATCTCCATTTGTTGTTCCTGATGAAATGCTGTCATTTGAAGGTGGTGACGTCTAGGTCATAAAAGATCGAAGTAAGTTTTCATGTTTGAAACAATAATTGTATTTGAAGAAAAACAATTTCAGATATCATCCTACCAAATAACTTGTTTGAGGATCAGTTCTGCTTGACCTGCTGAATGTAGGACTAGGAGACAAACCGTTTTGGTCTGTAGTTTCTGATGAAGTAAAGTTTTTTGTCCTTTTTGAACCCTGGTTCATAAAAGAGTATGCTTACATTTGANTTGTNAAGTCTTAATAGTCTTTCAAAAATAACAGTTACAGAGATTATTATACCTCATTACTTGTTCCAGAATC